AGGACCCTAAAAGGGACCCCAGTTTTTGAAAAACGACCCACATAGCTCCTGGAAGATCCTTCCCTCAAAGACTCCTTGCTCCGAAGCCTGAAAAGCGGAGGTTGCGAGATCTCCTGGACCCAACATCCCTGCGCACCGCGGAGGGCCATGCGAACCTGAGGCCCCTTTCTGGGTTCTGTTAAGGATTACCGGGAATTTAGGGTTCAGGGTTTAGGGNNTTAGGGTTGAGGGTTGAGGGTTTCAGTGAGGTTGCTGTTGGGCCGTGGGTTGATGATGCACACAAATATACGATTGCTAAAAGCCCAAACATTCAAGCATGGAGGTTTACAAGTAATGCAGTAACAAACAATGCGATAGCTCGAAGCCCTAAACCTTTGAATCCACAGGTTTAGCGGTGCAGGGGTTTGGGGTTTAGGGTCTGGGGTTTAGGGCGGGCTCAACAGTTCACAGTGCCGATGGTTCTTCGCACGCCAAAACCCCTACATCCCTCCCTTCTAGACTCCCCTAACCTGAATCCCAAATCCTGAACCCTAAACCCCAAACCGTTACTAAACCTCACGCCCAGCTCCATTACGAAAAGCCCTAAACTGTCAGGATCATGGATCACCCGGAGCTGGGTGCAGCATGGCTTGGGATTTGAGAGAGTCCGGCCTTCGAGTGCATAAAGGCGTCTGCTTTTCTAGGGTTTTTTGTGCTGCCCTTTGCGAGTTTGATAGGGTTTAGGGTTTGGGGTTTAGGGTTTAGGGTTTAGGGTGGTTCAAAGGGGAGCTGATCAGCTTTCAAGGCTTAGGGTGCGAAGTTTTGTAACTCACAGCATTGCAGGACTGTGGGGATGTTTATCGTTGGCATGCCACACTACTTAGAATGGCGTTGCCCTGGGTTCAAAAATCCGACAGGCATGCCCAAACCCTGTATCGCTGGACAAGTAGCATGGGAGTTTCTGTCACTAGTATCACTATTGTTACTGCCAGTATTAATATTATTAACCTCATGATTTGATTACTGTCATTACTATCCTGCTAACCCAAATGTACAACCCATTGACTGATCGTACAATCAGCCCTGAACCCTTTAGCCACGTCTTCGTGGCGTTTTGACGCCATTCAAACGGCCTTTTGTGTTTAGGATGTGCCCAAGAGCTGAAGCCCTAAACCCTGAACTCTCATAACCGATCCCTTATGGATCCTTATCGGCTGTTGAGCTGAATTCGGGCTTGTTTTTTGAAGTAGGTTTAGAATTAAGGGTCTAGATCCAAACCCCTAAGCTCCGTTTCGGGTTTCTGAGGGAACCCACCGGATGTTTGCGTTTCAGCTTTTGGAACTAGGCTTTGTGGTTCGTCACCTGCTTGAGCCTTGCCTCAAGCCCGGAGCCCCAACTGTACTATAGGGGCAATAGCAATTTGGCATGGCTTGGGGATACATCATACTTGGAGGTTCATGGGTAGTTATAAGTGGAGTTATACATCCGCTAATATGGGTTATAATTACAGTGACCCTACTTATAACCTCACTTATAACTACCCATGAACCTCCAAGTAGTATCGGTATGATAAGGTGAAAGGAGCCTGCTCGGCCGCCGAATGCTCGCTGTGTCAATGCCTCAGTCGCCTCAGGTCATCGTCCCAGGATTGGTGGAAGCTGCCTGCCAGACGGTCGTGGAGGTGGGAGTGGTCGGGTTTGGGCTTGGGGGTTTTGCGGGATTTTAGTCGTTTGGATTTGGGGCTTAGGTTTGGGGTTTAGGGTCCTAAACCCTAAACCCTAAAGTGTAGGGGTGTGAGCTGGCAGGTGGTGTGTTCACTTCTCATCATCATTCTATCGGAGTCGGAGTGTCCGGAAGAAGGGATGCTAGCGGCACAGACGTGGGGCCTCTAGGCTTCCTTATATGGGAGGTTCGGACCCTAAGCGAATCGATACTTCGTTGTCGGGAGGACCCAGATTGCAAACCACTCGATGTCGATGAAACCATAAATCAACTCGTCTAAACCGCTTCTCCGCCCGCGGAAACCTTGCAAAGACCTGTGTTTCTAGCAGGTCCTACTCCCCAAAAGCCCCTATAAAGACTTTCAGAACCGCTATGGGCAGCAGGTAAGAGCCCTTACTACGCCTCATGATCCTTCAAGTAACGCCATGGAGGTAAGGAAGCTCATCCGTTTCGGCCTGAAGAAGCGTGCGCGGGCCCCGCACAATGCAGTTTCTGCTTGTGGGCGCTATCGGCTCTCGGCCTTAGCATCGGCCCTTTTCCTCATAGAGTTCTACACTATAACGGCTTCTGTGTGTTGAGCGGCAACATTTAGGGTTCGGAGACGTATAAAGCCTATCTCAGTCAAGAACTCAGGTGCCCAAGGCATCCGTGTGGGTTATCCCGGTTATCCCTGCCTTGCTTGGCTTTCTTGAAGAGGGGATGATGGGATACACCAACCTTATGGCTTCTGTTTAGGAGTTTTTTCGGTCCCTACAATTCCTAAGAGTGAAGAAGTCTTGTGTTTAAGGGGGTTCAACGAGAGTTTCACTTACAGGGCCTCATGTGCTTCTTTGAAGTTGGGTTACCTGCTTAGGGACCTTTCTGGCGGGGATCCGATTTTCTATGCACCTCCATCAGCGGTTCCTGCATTGTCCTGCATTCTGAAACTTGGGGATGTTCGTTTGGGGTTTTGGAGCTTCAGGTGCCGCAGATCGAGACAGTAGCACACCGAAGTTGGAAGAAGCTCACATCAATATCTGGACCTGCAGCATTTGCCCGAGATTCCCCAGCGTGCCCTCTGTGTTAGGGTTTGGGGTGACCGTGTTTTTGCTAGAGGCCTGCCGCGCGGCACAAGTCAGTACCTC